GATTGACTTCCAGTTTTATACCATTATGCTTAGAGAAGATGCTCGACATGATTTCAATCTTCTTAAATTTATTGAGATTTGTATTGTCTTAACATGTGGTCTGTCCTAGAAAATGTTTCTTGTGCACTTGAAAAAGAATGTGTATTTTGCTGCTTTGGGATGAAATGCCCTGAAGATATCAATTAAATCCGTCTGATCTAATGTGTCATTTATGTTGTTGTTTCTAATTTTCTGTCGGGGAGATCTATCCATTGAAGTCAATGGAATGTTAAAATCCGCTACTCTGACTGTATTTCTGTTGATTTCTCCCTTTATGTTCATCAAGATTTGCTTTATATGTTTTGGTACTCCATGTTTGGTGCATAAATGTTTACAAGGGTTAAGTCCTCTTGTTGGATTGTTCCCTTTATCATTCTTTGTCTCTTACATAAAGCCTTTGTCTTAAAGACCATTTTATCAGATGTAAGTATTGCCATAGCAACTTCTTTTCTTCATTTCCACATGCATGAAATATCTCTTCCTATCCCTTTACTTTTAGTCTGTTTGTATCTTTCATTTTGAGGTGAGTCTCTTGTAGACAGCATATATATGGGTCTTGTTTTCTTATCCATTCAGTTACCTTAATGTTTTTTGATGGGAACATTTAAGCCACTTACATTTAAATAAATATGTTCCTCTCCTCCTCCTCCTTCTTGTTCAAGAAGATCCTTCAACTGTTCTTGTAATAGTTGTTTGGTTGTAATAGACTCCTTTAGCTTTTTCTTGTCTGGGAAGCTCTTTACTTCTCCTTCAATTTTTTATTTTAAATTTTCTTTATTGATTGATTGTAGAGAAAGGAGAAAGGAGAGAAAAAGAGAGAAAGAGAAAGATAAATACCAATTTGTCATTCCACTTATTGATATATTCACTGGTTGCTTCTGATATGTGCATTGACCAGGGATCGAACCTGCAACCTTGGAGTATTGGGAGGACACACTAACCAACTGAGCTACCTGGGAAATTATCCTTCAGTTTTAAATGATAGTCTTGATGGTCAGAATAGCCTTGGCTGTAGGTTATTACTTTTCATCACTTTTAATATTTTGACATTCCCCTATGGCTTGAAATGTTTCTGTTGAGAAATCAGCTGACAGACTTATGGGAGCTTCCTCATAAGTAACTGTCTTTCTCTTGCTGCTTTTAAGATTCTCACTTTCTCTTTAACCTTTGCAAATTTAATTATTATGTGACTTGGTGTGGGCCCCTTTGGGTCCCTCTAGTTTGGGACTCTCTGTACTTCCTTGCCTTGTGTATCTTTTTTCTTCACCAGGTTAGAGAAAATTTTTTTAATCCTCACTACAGGACCTGCTTATAGAGAGGAAGAGGGCAAGAGAGACAGAGAGAAACAACGATTTGTTTCTCCATTTATTGATGCATTCATTCATTGCTTCTTGTATGTGCCCTGACGAGGGGTCAAAACTGCAACCTTGGTGTATTGGAATGATTCTCTAACCAACTGAGCTACCCAGCCAGGGTGAATCTCCTTTGATTATTTATTTATTTATTTAATTTGTAAATATTGCGCTTTCTCTCTCTGTTTTTTAAATTTTATTTTTTTCCTTACCCAAGGACTTTTTTTAATTGCTTTTAGAGAGAGGAAGAAACATCAGTATGAGAGAGAAACACCATTTGGTTGCCTTCTCATACATATCCCAACTGGGGATTGAACCTATAATCTGGGTATGCCCTGACTGGTAATGAACCCGTGACCTTTTGATCTACAAGATGATACTCCAGCTGAGCTACCTGGCCAGGGAAATTCTCCTTCAGTTTTAAATGACAACCTTACTGGGTAGAATAATCCTGGTTGTAGGTCCTTGCTTTTCATCACTTGGAATATTTTGTGCCAACCCCTTCTCACCTGAAATGTTTTTGTTGAGAAATCAGCTGGCAGACATGGGAGCTCCCTTGTAAGTAACTGTCTTTCTCTTACTGCTTTGTAACATACTCTCTTTGTCTTTAACCTTTGCCAATTTAATTATTATATGTCTTGGTGTGGGCCTCTTTGAGCTCCTCTTGTTTGGGACTCTGCACTTCCTGGCCTTGTGTGTCTTTTCTTCACCAGGTTAAGGAAGTTTATTTTAATCCTCACTAGAGAGCATGCTTACAGAATAGAAGCGGGAGAGAGGGAGAGAGAGAGAGAGAAACATCAATCAGTGGTCTCCTGTACATGTCCCAACTGGGAATTGAATCCACAAGCTTTTTGGTATATGGGATAATGCTCTAATTAACAGATCCACCCAGCCAGGGCCAGGCTAGGGAACTTTTTAGTCATTATTTTTTCCAATAGGTTCTCCATCCCTTGCTCTTTCTCTTTCCCCTCTGGTACCCCTATGATGTGGCTGTTGCTATGCTTCATGTGGCCCTAAAATTCCCTTAAACTGTCCTCATTTTTTAAAATTCTCTTTTATTTTTGCTGTTCTTATTGGATGTTTTCTGCTACCTTGTTTTCCAAATCACTGATTCAACCCTCTGCTTTCTCCAACCTACTATTTATTCCTTTGAGTATGTTCATTTCAGATATTGTATTCTGAATACTGTATTCTTCATTTCTGACTGGTTCTTTTATTGCTTCTGTGTCCTATTTCATGCTTACTATCTCTTTATTTACATACATTCTTCCCCTAAGTTTCTTGAGCATCCTCATAACCTTTATTTTGGACGCTATCTCTGGTAGAGTGCTTGCCTCTACTTTGTTTAGTTTTTTTCCCTGGAGATTTCTTCTGTTCTTTCATTTAGAACATGTTTCTTTGCCTCCCCATTTTGGCTGCCTCTTTGCGTTTGATTCTATGTGTTAGGTGGAATTGCTGGGATTCCTAGCCTTGGCTGGGTGGTCTTATGTGGTAGTGTCCTGTGGGATCCAGTGGTGCAGTCTCCTTGATCACCTGAGCTGGGTATTCCAGGAATATCCCTTGTGTAGGTTATGGGGGCTTTCTCTTGTAACTGAGTCTTTGTTGCTATTGGCTAGTTAATATGTGAGGTAGACCCTCAAGCTGGTTGACTGTGAGGATCAACCCTGACCACAGTGCACAAGCTGCCCTGCAGATACTCATACATATGAATTCACAGAGAACAGAATTTGCCTCAGGAGGATCTGGTGCATGCTGAGGTCTCCCTGTGGATATGACCCTTGCTAGTTGGATCCTGCTCTGATATTGTCTGAAGTTGGCCAATTGGTGTGTTGGTTCTGGGGCTTCTTGGGAGGGACTCTGGTGTTGGCCAGTGTCAGATGCTGCCTGTGACTAATCCTGGGCAACTTTTTTGAGCCACAGAGCTATCCACAGTTTGTGGCTGCCTCTGCTGGCCTGGGTGAGTGTGAGAAGGTCCAAGCAGTGCACCAAAACTGGTTTTTGCCAGCATCAGGCCTGGGGGCAGATTAGCAAAGGTTCCAAGGCACCACAGATCCACCTCCACCTGCCTCCGCCTACGCCTATGGACTGCCTGCTAGGTTCAGTCACTAAAAGAACCCCTGGTGGTAATCAAGTTGCGTGATGTAGGTTCCTAGTGAGTTATCAGGTAGATATCTGTTCACCAGATTGATACAGGTTCAAACTCAGTGTCAGTGCTGAGTCTGAGGCCACTCAGCAAATGTCCCTGGGTATACCAAGCCTAGCTCTACCACTTGATGGTGCTCACAAATCTTTGTGGTGGGGTGGGGTCTCAGGGTGTTGTCAGGGTGAGACCAGCAAGTTTATGAGGCCCAAACAAAACCACAAGATTTGGTTGTGTCAAGGAACAGCTCTGCACAGGTATGGCATGTGCGGGAAAAATGTCTCTCATCCCAGAGCCACACAACTCAGTCTTTCCAAGATTCTGTCGGGAGGCAAAGCCAGTAGGACAAGGCAGCTGGGAGTTAGGAGGGTGGGGCTAGTGTATATTCTGTGAGGAAGAGGCACTGGTCATACTAGGGGAAGGTGTGGGGAGTGGCTGCCACCTAAGAGCCACACAACTCAAACTGTCCCTATTCGTGCCTCCACCCTTCCTACCAGTCTCAGTGTGGTGGATTCTTTAAATCTTTGGCTATAAGACTTCCTTTCAGCTCATCTAGTTGGTTATTCAGTTTGCTTGCTCTGTATTTTAATTGCAATTCCAGTTTGGTCTTGGGGAGAGGTGAATGTAACACCTACCTACTCTGCCACCATCTTAGACCTCTCACAAAGTCCTTCCTTTTAAGGGAGGAATCATGTTCCGTTTTATGGATGGACCACACTGGATGTACCCATTCATCCATCAGTGGAACACCTGAGTTGCTTCCACATTTTTGCTATTGTGAGTAATGCTGCTATGAACATGAGTGTGCACATACCTCTTGAAGGTCCTCCTTCAGTTCTTTCAGTAAACACCCAGAAGTGGGATTGCTGGAGCACATGGTAGTTCTGTTCTGGTTTTTTTTCTCAAGGACTCTCCATATTGTTTTCCACAGCACCTGCACCAGCAGTGTATAAGGGAACCAGACCTGGCTTTCTTTGTAAGAGTGAAACTAACAAGGAAAAACAGGCTGCATCCCAAGACCTAAGGTGTCCAGGATCCATAATCTGAGATGAGCAGTGTGAGTTCAAGGGCTCTGCAGAGGGTCTGTGGGTACTCAGGGGCCAGGGAACTGCTTCCTGCTGTGGGCTATTCATGGGTCCCCTGGGTTGCAGCAATAGAGTGAGAGCATGGTCGGGTAGTGTCGCTCTGATCCCGTCACCATGTCATGAGAAGTTTAGTCACCTCATGTGTGGCTGATCCTGGCAGATGCTTCCCTCTATTTCCTTTCTAAGACAACTGCAGTTCTGTTCAGACCTCCAATGGATGCATGCTCACTAGCTGCCTGGACAGTACCCTCCCAGCCTTTGCCCCCAGGGCTGGGTGAGCCAGGCGGGTTGGGGTGCATGGGAGGCTTGGCCAGTGGATAAATGTCCCTCGAGTGGGTTGAAAATGTTATCAGAACTATTAAGGCTTTAAAAAAGTTTTTTGTGTGTGTCTGCTCCCACACTAGAACAGCCTAAGTGAATGCTTAGCACACTGTCAAGAAAGCACCGTTCTGCCTTACACCAGTGCCAGGGGCCACCAGAACAGTGAGGGAGGCACCTGGAGGAAGAAGACAGGGCATTCCTCCCCCAGCGGTGTAACTCCATCCCAGCAATGATGCTGCCTGGACAGCTGACTGCTGCTGGGGCCATGAAGGCTTTTAGACACGAGAATGACATGATCCGATTTACCTTTTTTAAAGATCACTCTGACTTATATTTATATGTTATTTTTAATAATTAAAAATGTTCAATTAGAGTTGACATTCAATATTAGTTTCAGCCATACAGTATAGTGGTTAGACATTTATAAATTTTCAAAGTGATCCCCCCAGTAAGTCTAGTATGGGCCCTCTTTATAAAAGGCATTAATCTTATTCATGAAGTCTTCACCCATCTAATCACCTTCAAAGGCCCCCACCTTTATTTATTTTTAATTTAATTTATTGGGGTGACATTGGTTAATAAAATTATGTAGGTTTCAGGTGTATAATTCTGTAATACATCATCTGTATATTGTATTGTGTGTTCACCACCCCAAGTGAAGTCTCCTTTCATCACCATTTATTTTCTCTTTACCCTCTTTTTCCTCTCTCCTCCCCCTTAATCTCTGGGATTGCTCAGTGATCTGATATATAAAATAACATTTGAGACGTGTCTTGAGAGCACAGGTAGGAATTAGACCCACGATTTTCAACACATGTGTACTGGCAGCCACGCTTTCGTGCTACAAGAATTTTAAAACATGTAATAGGTAGTACAGGAACACTGACCTCTTTTCAAGGCTGTTGTCATTTTCTTTTTCTTTTTCTTCCTTTTTTGCCTTTTTTTTCTATTTTCTCTTTTCTCGCCTCTCTTGTATCTCATTTCTCAGATGTTTCTTTCTAATGAATTGACCATTGCATTTCCTAAGGTCTAAAATGGCAAACAGACATTTCTTTAGGCTTCTACTTGAAACCACATTGTCATTTTTTTATTTGACAATCTGAAGGAAGAGGTCAGTGCCCCTGACTGCATAGTCAGGCATCACATGTTTTAAAATTCTTGGGGCACACCAGTTGAAAATTGCTCATTTAGACAGATGAAGAAGGTGAGATGTGGTTCAGACACAGAAAGCAGGCATGCAGCCAGGGAGGCAGGAGAGATGGAAGACTGGAAACCAGATCACAGGCCCATCAGGGGCCAGTGAGTGAGGCAACAGGGCAGGAAAACAGAAGACCTGGCAGGACAGAAAGGGGGCCATCCATGGAGGAGGAAGGAAGGGTGGATAGGAGACTATAGGAGAGATATGGCAGAGGGGACAGGGGATCCTGGGAGGAGGCATGGCAGGGAGGACATGGGACACTCCATGGAGGAGGCAGGTTCCCCTATCACCTGTCCCTTCTCCCCTTTCCCTCCAGCCCTGTCCACTTTATGGAGGGTCCCCTTGCCTACACCATGAAAGTTTCCCTGAGCCCACCTGCCCTGCCTCCTCCAAGGACCCCTGTGCCCCTGTCTTGCCTACTCCATGGAAGGTGGGCTGCCTCCCCGCCCGTCCCCCTGCTTGCCTTCTCCATGGAGGGTCCCCTGTCCGCCTGCCTCCTCCATGGAGGGTCTTCTGTTTCCTTTCCCTGTCCTGTCACTCACAGGTCTCCCTGGGGCCTGTGCTGTGGTCTCTGGTCTTCATGTCTCCTGCCTCTGGGCCACACGCAGTGTCCACTGTCTATACCTGAAGCACGTTCCTCACGCTCTTCATCCATCTCAGTTGTACCTGTGCTCTCAAAGCACATCCCAGATATCATTTTAAATGTCAAATCACAGAATGAGCTTTAGAAAATATGAATCAGACCACGACCTTCTCATGCCTAAAAGCCCTAATGGTTGGGATAGCACTTTCAACCCACCCGAGGGCCCTTTTACCTGTGCACCCAACCGCTCTGCCCTGCATCCCTGCCAGCCTGGCTGTCCCTGCCCGGTGGGCACTTGCTGTCCCTTTGTGGGAGGCTTCCCCAGTTCTCCAAGGGGCCAGCTCTGTCTCAGCAGCCAAGTCCGACTTAAATATGGCAAGATCTTGGGGAGCCCTTTCCTGACCCTGCTGGGGAGTCACTGCAAGGGTCGCAATCCAGCACTGTGGGGTATTACGTGGCCACAGGTCGCAGAAGTAAGGCAGGTCACAAAGGTAAGGCAGGCCAACGAGGTAACCGGACAGCCATCCTGGGTCAGCTAGGTGTACCAAGGTAACCCGCTGAGGCTGGACGAAGGGACCACAGGCCAAGGTTTTGAAGGGCCCCTGGAAGCTGGGAGTGGCTTCGGCAGGGACAGGGAAGGAAACTGTCCTATAAAGAGTGGGTTCTGCCAGCACCCCAGGGGTAGGGGGTGGGGCCTCCAAAGCCTCCGGGGAGGAGCGCAGCCCGGGGAGTCAGTTCAGGTTTCTGACCCACAGCACCTGCAGTCCCGCACTTCGTGGTGAGGGCCTCTCCATCTGAGGCCAACTGTTAGGGCAGCGATAGAAAAGCAGTACACATAGCCCCTGTCCCTCCCTATTCACATCACCTAAGTCTGTTTTCTTCACGGCTCTTAGAATCTTCTGAAGTATTGTTCTTTGTCACCTGTCTGTCTGTCTCCCAGCCCCTCTCAGCACCTGAAAGGTAACTTATGAAGGTCTCATCCCCAGGACCCAGGTCCAGCAAATGCCACAAAGGAGCCAATGACACACACATGTTAATGAGTTTAGGGGTGAAGGGCTCTTTTTTGGTTTCATAAAACTGTATTTTTGTAATAAAACTGATTCATTAATATATCATCTTTTTTTTGTCAAAAGCTGTGTCTCCATTTTTGGTTCACAAATGCGATAGCTGTTGCATGAGCTGCCTCGTGGAGGGAGAGGGACCTGACTGCAGGCCAGGTTCACGCTAGGATTTGCCTCCCATCCCCCAACCCCCCACAGGCCAGCCCTTGGGCTCTGGCGGCCAGCTGACCCACAGAGCTCCTAAGGCCTCATCTCATGTTCCCCTGCCCGGTGTTGCTTCCGGCGGGGAGAGGGGACTCTCTTCCTGGGGCAGTGGTGGCCCTGGTGATCTTAGCGCCTGGAGTTCTCGTTCATTTCTTACTTGGGGGCTAGGAATGATGGCCATTGGATGGCCTGCTGGTCGTGGCTGCAGGCCTGTGGGGGACCAGGCGGTGCGGGGCAGCCGCTCCTGCAGCCCACCACAAGCTGACCCCCTGCCCGGCTGCCCCTTCCTGGATGGCAGGTCCCCTCCTGGTTCCCATTGAGGTTCCTGGGGACAGTTTCAGGGATAGAGGGATGTCGGGTATCTGGAAGGATTAAGAAAGCGGATGCTTTGGAATGAGGCGGCGCGGCCGTGGCTGCCCACAGAGGAGGCTGCTTCTCCCTGGGAAACGCTTCCCGTCCGGGGACACCAGCAAATCAGAAGGCAGTTCTACAGAGGGACGGGTTTTGCCTTCCAAAGATGAAATTATAAAAACTAAGAATCAGTGTACACTCTGCTGAGAAAACTCAAATAAACAGTTCAGCAGAATGTGTCTATTTTAGGAGTTCTGCACCGCGTGAATGTGTACAGGAAGTGGAAATGATGGGCACAGTGGCAGATGTCAGGCCCAAAAGTGTTTTGCTCACTGACATTTCAGCTGCTGCTATGAAGGCCCACAAAGAACAGCAGCTGCCGGCGGCCCCTGTGGTGTTTGCAGGGAGTTGCTCCCCTGACTGTGGCAGAAAGGCATTTGAACAAGAAGACTCTGTGAGTCTAGGGCCTGAGGGCTGCTGGCCCAGTAATGACGGGAGAGGACGCCCTGCCTGCCCTGCCTGGGGCGTTTGTTTCTTTTGGGTGGCCGGACCTGGCTGAGCGGAGGCCACCTGCCCTCAGCTATCCCCGTGTCACCACGCAGCTCTCGGTGACTGCTGCCCTGAGCTCAGACCTGAGCAGCACCCAAGGCCAACTTCAGACCCCATCATCATCAACAAGTCAACCTTTGTTTCAAATAACTCACTTCCCAGACAGCGGCCCAGTGATCGGGCCCTCAATTCCTCCCCCAGGCTGATAATAGTAGGTACTGATTTCCTGTCCAAAGCTGCAAATTCCAGAGAATTAACAGTCATATCTATAGAAAAATAATATAATCTCACTCAACCCCATCTCCAACATATATCAAGCATTTTATGTTTCTGGTTTTCTCCATACCCGGAGCAGCTTTTCATTTCCTTCCTCTCAACCTGTTCCTGCCCATAATTCAGTCTGTGATTGTCACAAGCCCTGTATGTCATCTGTACAACCTCCTTTCCCTCTGAGGTGCACACCCCCCCTGTCTGACCTGCACAATCTCCCTCTTATGTGCACAACTTCTTTATTGAGAAAAGACAGCAGTAGCAATGTGAATGGATCGACGATGGCCCATTTTTGCAGATTGAGAGTTTTAATAAATTTATGTAATTTGGCCAAGCCGGGATCTTTAGATGGCAGTGAAAGAGGCAGGAGAGAACCTCATTCGTTTTGCCCAAATCCTTTGACACCAGGACGCACAACTGTCCCCCTTCCCTCTGTCTGCCACGCCCTGACATTGACACCACATTCAGTCAGGGCCTTGCTTGTCCTGTGCCATGGATGGTGCTGGCCCTCCTGGTCCCTGGCCCTCCATGGTCCTTGCTGAGAGGGCGGCCTGAAGGACTGGATTTGTCATCCATCCACTCTGCCGCAGTCCCTATGGTCCCTAATCAACAGATTAGAGGGCCCCGATGGAGGAGGGAGAGGAGTCACGTTTAGGAAACAAGTCCAGAGTAGAGGTACAAGTGGGGAGGCAGAAGGGAGGAGATGCTGTTGCCATGAGTGTGGGCTGGGGCATGGCAGTGCTGGCTCTGCAATTCCTGGTCGGGGTACTGGGGGTTCCCACCGACAGGAGTCTATCGTCTCTGCGTGGGGTCTCCCCATCCATCTTTTTTGAACTGCTTTTCTCCCACTCTCTCTCCCTCATTTACAGGTGTTTTATTTAGTATTACAGATAGTAATAATTTTATTGGGCCTATCTCAATCTCCTTATACTGGAAATTTTCAGGTAATAATTTTCTCTGTTATCCTTCCAGGCAATTGAAGAAATAAACTTCTTTAACATAGCTCTGTGTCAGCAGGGGAGGGAGGAAGGAATGGAAGGAAGACA